CCTGGGGGCTGCTTGCATGATAACCATAGCATGTGAACCTCCACCTCTGGTTGGCAGTCACAGGACCCACTGTGAACATGGCTCCAAATAGTCTAGAGGACATATTCTGTGATGGAACTGGACTAGAGAACTTCTTGTCATCCTTCATTAGAATGAATGTGTTAAATGGCTCTTGGGAATCACACTTAAGGGTCACATTCCCTCCTGAAGTTACCACAGGTCTGGGAATGCCTGCCAGAATGATGCTGTTGGGGTGAACTCCTAGGAGAGAAGAAGAAGCCTGTTGTCTGGATTTTATAAGAAGCTGGTCCCATCTTCTCATATTTGAGAAAGGGAGCCCCCAGTGAACATATTCCCTCCCTTAAGGCAATCCTGAGTTTGGGGGAGCGTTCATCACCTGTCACCACCAGCTCCAGGATGTCAGTGGATTTTCTGGTGCCCTTGGTGCTTGTATAGTTACACCAATATTGACCTGCATTGTACCATTGAACAGATGAGATAGAGAACATGGCCTTTTTCTCAGTTTTAAGAATGGCTGTTGGTATGAGGTAATCTTGACTTCCTTCTTTGCAGAGATGATACTCCTTGGCCGCCAATGGTACTTCACAGAAAAATGTCACCTGCTCCCCAGCAGCCACCACATTACTTGGCACTGCCCTGAGTGTAGGTTTAGAAATGGTCCCTGAAAGAAATGACAGTTTGTCCCCAGAGCTCACCCTCAGATACAAGCTCTCAGACCCCGGACTTTTAAAGCCCTTCAGCATCAGATCACACCAGCTGTTCTCCATCTCCTCTGTTCATGAGTTATCTGTGATTCCCCATCATGGTGTCCAATCTGGGGAACTGGGATGACACTCACCTGCCAGCACTGGGATCCTGATGTCCAGACTCATTCCTGCAAGAGAGTTACCTGTGAGTATTTGCACTGAAACAGGAGTAGATTATACAATTCCTGGTGCCTTCTGGAGCTGATGAGACATCCTAGTGGCCCGAATCAAGGTTGTGAGGTGGATTGTCTCTCACACAAGAATTCCTCATCCCAATTTGGTATCTCACCAAGATACAGCAAGACTGTAAGAAAAGGGGTCATGGCATCTTCCAGTTGACAGAAGTTTGCAGATAGTTGGTCTCCTTTCCAAACACACAGACACAAGATGTGTGTCCGCTAAAAGCTTGCTTCTGATCCTTGTCATGAGGATGTCATTAGCATCTGTTGAGAAACAGGAACTGCTCTAACCAGGCGCCTGACTCTTCTTCCCTATGCTGTGATGGGTTGGGTTCTAGAATGTATGGCTTCCATCTCTCTGTGGTTCTTTAGCTTCTGTTTTTGTTTCTAAAATAGAACCTCTTAAACTTCATGCATATCCCATACCACTTCCTCTTCACCTGATCTTGGTTTGTGCTAGGATTGAAAACACAAAGCTAGGTATAGTTTCTTCCTGCAGAACATCTTACTGTAACCCTCTACACCTGACTGAAGACTTCAAGGAGTGTCCCGTCCTGCAGGACACCAACCTGGAGCAAGAGAGTAAGGGGAATGTGGTAAAGGGACACAGAAGGACCACAAGACAGGATTCTGATCAAGTGGCAAGCTTTTCTTTTCTCACGCCAGCCTATATAGGCATAGAATGGGTTGTTTGCACACCAGGTGTTGGCATAGGCAGGACAGTAGGAAGCCACAAAGAGGATGTTTGGTAGGGTAAAGAGTTTATGAGTAAGAGGTCCAGGGAGGGTTGCTTAGGTGACAGAGCCTGTGGGTGGAGAACAGGGTCAGGTTGCTTCTTTTCTTGAGCTGAGGTTCTAAGGAGCTGCTATGTAATATTTAACTATGTGGCCTGCCAAGCATGGCCTAGGGTCTCATGGCCAGCCCTGAGATTTGGCTCCCAACAAAGGAGAATGGTCTTTTGTCTCAGAGATACTTCTTGGTTCTCCTTGATTCATTCAGCAGAACAAAATGGCCAGTTCTGTCCCCTGCCTGAGAAATGCTTTTGGAATGTTGTGTGAACTTTACATAAGGTTACAAGAAGAATGCAGACATAACCTCCATGAGACACCAGTGTCAGAAGAAAATATAAGACTCCACACAAATCTAGCTGGTGAAGCAATGAGTTATCTTGGGGTTCCTTAGAAACCCTGGGGCTTTTCTTCTGGTTGTTAATTTTTGAGATGGGGCTCACTATGAAGATCTGCCAGTCCTGGAATATACTCTATAGATTATATAGGATCCATGAGGCAGTTTCAGCTCCCAAAATTTAGGCACAGTGTGCTCCACTATATTCAGAAGTATTGGAAATTTTTCAGTGTTTATATCCCTGGGGAGAAAAAAAAATTGTCTGCAACTATTGACTGCCTACATTTTTGACAGAAGAGTGGCCTAGGAGCCTGTACACCATGAAAGAGTACTGATGGGAACAATTTTGGTTAGGTCAGCTGTATATAATCAGAGCTACAGAGTTCAATAGGCCAACAGTCATGTCATGCTTGGAAGCACTGATCCATAATGAGGGAAAATGTAGGTTGATCCTGTTGGGAGCACACACAGCAGAATGGATCCACTGAGCACCGGATCCTTCAATTCTCCTGGATTAACCCAAAGGAGACTAACTGGGTTTCTAGGTTCAGATTGCTATTGCTGAGATGAAATACCATGACCAAAGGCAGGTTTTGGAAAGTAAGGATTTGTTTGGCTTACACTTCAGCAATGCTGTTCAGCAGTGAATGAAATGAGGACAGAAACTCAAACAGGGAAGACCACTGGAGACAGGAGCAGATGCACAGCACCTGGAGGGGATTGGTTTACTCAGATTCTTTCCCTGGCTTGCTCAGCTCACCTTCTTTTTATTCTATTTGTTTTGATATAAACTTTTTTATTTCATTATTTTTTTTTCATTTTACATTTCAACCCCAGTTCCCCCTCCATTCCTTCAGGCAGCCTGCCAAATTACCCCATCCTACCCACATTCCAGTCCTCAGAGTTCATAAAGTCTCCGTTGGGGAGTCACCAAAGGCTGTAATCTACCTACCTTCTTAGAAGACCCAGGGATGACAACACCCACGATAGTGACTTCCCTCCATTGATCAATGACTGAGAAATGCCTTACAGCTGGATCTTATCAAGACATTTCCTCAACTGAGGCTCTTTCCCCTGATGAATGTAACATGTATCACATATTTTCCTTTGGAACTCATCCCTGAGATCATAAATAACTTTAAAAGTTCCACAGTAATGATAAATGTGAACCCATCAAAATTACAGCTCCTTTAGAGTGACTAATCTCCTAAAATCCAAAGTCTTAAAATTCAAAGTCTCTCAAGTGTGGTCTCCAGTAAAATAACTTCAAGGGGGGGAGAAACTTGCATAGTAAAGATCAAATTAAGTCAAAAAATTACAATCCTCTAATATCTGGGATTCACTCATGATCTTCTGGACTCCTTCAAAGTGCTGGGATCACTTCCCCAGCTCTGCCCACTGCAGTACACACAGCTCATCTTCTAGGCTCTGAATGGCTCCACTCAGCTACTACTACTGCTGTTCTTGGTAGTCAGGCCATGGTACTGATATCTCCAAAAAACTGGGGTCTTCTGATGCAATTGATCTTCACTTTGACATATAGCCGCTCATAGGCTCTCCTCTGGGTGCCAAGCCTTGACTTCTTTGCATGAGCTACTTAATCCTGGGGTTTCAACTACCACTGAGGCTGCACCTTCACCAATGGCTTCTCCTGGACTCTCACAGTTCCAGGGAAATCCTCAGTTTCTCTGTATGACCCATTCATGCCTTCAAAACAGTACCAACTGGGTGACTATTACACATTGCCAAGTCTGCCTGCCAGCAGAAGGTGCAAGCTTGGCCCCCTCTGGAACACAGCTACTTGAGCTCCTAGAAAATACTTAGCAGATGGACTTTAGGAGCCCATCCCACATGGAGGGATACTCTCTCAGCGGGACAAAGGGTGTGTGCCTGGGCCTAGGCCCTGTTTGCAGCAATGTGGGAGACCCTGAGGACCATGTACTGTGGGCATCTCCATCCCTATGGAGCAGAAAGTGTATGGGATAGTTGGGCTGTTATTTGGTGGGGCAGGGGAGGAGAAGAGGTAGACAGCCAGGGATTGGCATGTAAAAAAATCTTCTTTCTGACTAATATTTAAAAATTTAAAAAAAAAGAAAACACTTCCCAGAATATTTCACCCAGGTGATAGAGTTCTCTTCTTAATCACTGCTCATGTCTTAGCTCCAGCTGACCAGAATCAATTATCCAAGCAACATGAATTTCACTGCAATAGTTCTGTAATCTTGTTAGTCATGGCTGATTCCTCAGCCAAGGCTAACCAGAACCACAGGTTATTTTAATAGACATGGTATCTTGCTAACCTCAGCTGATTATTCACACCCAGCTAACCACAACCACAGGATCTTAATTCAAAAACAAAAAATGGCCACCATAAAGATTTAAACTTTCCTCTGAAACTTTACAAGCAAGACTTCTATCCTCTGCACTTCTCTCAAAATGCTTTGTTGATACTTGTTTTTATTCACAAAATGAATTTTATTTTGCATACAAATGCAGTTCCCCTCCCCTCCCTCACCTCCTCTCCTGAACCCCATTCAATCCCCTTTACTTCCTGAATACAGTCCTCAGAGGAGGGAAGGTCTTCCTTGTGGGGTCATAAAGTCTGGCATACCACACTCAGGAAGGACCAACCCCTCCCATGGTATCAAGGATCTATCTCAGTATTCTTAGATTCCATGTTCCCATTCAAATCCCACTGAGGTATTTCAACACTCAAAGGCTTTCTAGAAAAAATTTCCAATGTCCTTCCACAATCCCTCCAAAAACATGGTCAGGTCACTCACATCAATATACCACTATTTTGAAGCCAATATGTCATATGTGTTTATGCTTCATCACTGAAGGAAGACAGAACAGGAGCTCAAATAGGGCTGAGGGATCCAGGATATATGGTCAGATGCAGAAGCCATATAGAGGTTCAGCTGACTGACTTTCTCAACCCACCTTATAATGAAACCAGGACCAGCAGACCAGGGAAGCCACCACCCAACATGGTCTGAGCCCACCCCCACTGATCACTAATTGAGAAAATTCCTTATAACTGGATCTCATCGAGTCATTCCCTCAATAGAGGTTACTTCCTCTGGTGACTCTAACTTTTGTCCAGTTGACACACAAAGCAGCCAGCACATAGGGATGAAAGGAGAACAAAATGTGGCATTCTCATGGTATTTGATATTATTGTGCTAAATGGGCTCCTATGATTCATAAGCAATTTTAGCAATATACATGATATCCATAGGTGCATATTGTTAGTATTCATACCTCTTTCATGTTCCTATTTCATTGTTCAGAATGCTTCTTGCTTTGTGAAGGCATTGATTTAATGCCTGGTCAACAACAAATATCTATTCTAACTTAAATCTTATTAGCATCTCAGCCACGAGTTTCTGCATGATACCGATTGTTTAATGTCAGCATAATTTGCACCATATTTATAGGATCAGGATCGCCTGTGACATTAAGGTGTAAGGATGGTTAACTTTCAGGGTATTTTACAATGCACTTGGGATACAAAGGAGTTTCGCTCATGCCAATTTTATGGTGAGAGTAGTCCCATGTGATTTCCTGTGTTTCAAATGGATGATACATTAGATCCAAAATGTAAAGGTCATCAAATTCATGAGCTGAAAAACAGAACTAAACTTAAGTTCCCAAACTTCAGACAGGAAGCTAATACTGTGCAATCCTGAGACCTAGCCTTGTGAAGGATCACTCACTGCTGGGAGATTTCTTCCTACTGGGTAGATATTGTAGAGTCAGGGCTCCAAGAGAGGGTTAGTAGCTGTGCTCTCTCCATATTTGAGTACTGTATTACCTCTTCTCACTGTCTTGTGCCCACAATGTGTTCAAGTGTTTATCTACAGGCATGCTAGCTCATATGTAGGTATAGGTATCAGTTTCAGTTTGAAAGTCATACTGAACTGGTCCCTGGGAGAAGTGTAGTCAGTCGCTCATGCAGACACTCCAAGGTATTATCTCCATCCCTAATTGTAATGATTGCCAATGAAAAACCCAAACTCAAGCATGACTTTCCCAATCAATATAGAACAGTTCATATTCTGCATGTGTAAGGTAACAATTGACACTGTATATTATAAGGAAATGTAGTTAACTTCCCTAATTGTAATAATGGCCAATGAAAAACCCAATCTCAAGCATGACTTTCCCAATCAATATAGATCAGTTCATATTCTGCATGTGTAAGGTAACAATTGACACTGTATCATTATAAGGAAATGTGGTTAACTTATCTGATAATTTTGGAAGATGTAAGTTGAGTATCATGCAACCCTACCTGTTCATCCTGTGGGAATGCTGTTTACTTTGTCCCAGAATGCTAGAGAACTTAAATGTAAATGTGCAGGTGCAAAATGGAAAGACTGAATTGTGGGCATTGAATTGTGGACCAATCGACTTCTGGAAGAATTCATCCAGGTCCCAGAGAGATACAGTAGTAAAGAAGAAAGGTGATACTCACATATGTATGAAATTTTATATTTAGTTGGGGACTTAAATATCTCTCTAGTGCAGAGAGGCCCTTAATACACATTTGGTTAGTGGCAATGTATAATAAGGGAAAATACCAATAAGACTAAGGAAAAGCAGAAAACATACAAGGTGAGGACACAAATCTCAGTGGTGGGAATAGATGTGACACCATATCACACACTTGAACTATAGGAATGTAAAATCTTCAAATGTTCACAGCAGTGTAGAGAGTAAGAGTCTTAATGTGGTACTTGAAGAGCTCTTCAACCGAAAATTTAGATCTTTTCAGGCACACAAAACATATTTGCTTGACTAATGTTTTCTAACAAGAGATTCACTAAATTAAGCACTGAATTACCTCATAAAAGAACACCAAAGATCTGAGGCTGATTGGACAAATGTTATCAACAACAGATCCTGATGACAGTAGGATGAATGAAGGGGTGTTGGAAAGATGGAGGAGCATCATGGGGGTTTTTTGTTTGTTTTGCTTTGTTTTTAATTAATTTGGGGAAGCCGACTGCAGGTGTCAGGGTTGGATATGGAGGAACTGAGAGGTGATTGTACTTGGGGTGCATAAGGTGAAACTTCCAGAAATCAATGAAAGACTTTGCTTTAAATTAAAAATAAATTAGCAGAAAGCCATCAAAGAGCATGTGATGAATACTGAATGGTTACAGAGTGCAGTGTTTGGAGATGTGTTTTATGGTGATGTCTTATATATTTGGTCATTGTTTTCATTCTGTAATTTGTTTTGTGCTCATTTTCGTCTGTTTTTGTTTTATTGATTCAAATTCCTTTACATAGTAACAACTAAATTCTCCCCCCCCCAAAAAAAAATAACGGTGGCTCACGATTCACAGTGGAAAATGTAATAGTTTACAAAAAAGGAAAATATTACAAGAAACTTTTGAGAAGCAGAAGATAGAGAGAAGTGAGGACCCAAAACTCACTGCTAGGACAACATGTTCCCCCCACTTCCTGGAATGAAATGAGAGGACAGAGAAATCTTCAAATTCCACACCAAAATAGAGGGTAAGAGCCTTAATGTGATGGTTGTGTTTTTGCCACACTCACACTTAGGTATCTTCCTATTCCCAAAACAAATTTACTTGCTGGATATTTATTTCCTCACAATGATTCCCAATATTAAACATTGAAATTTCCTGTAATAAGAAAACACCTGAGATACTCAAATGTATTTCCTAGACTTGGTCACCAGGCAAGGACTATGGCTGTCTCACTTCTTCACTTATGGGATGCATTCAAACTCGTTCTCTCACTGCGGCAGTCA